CACTGTCTTCATCTGCTCGAGTCACCTGTGAATCAAACAAGTGCAGAGTGATGCCGTATTAATTCATTAGGGTAGTAGTAGTTTCATTAGCTTGATAGTAGTCATTGTGGTTAACTGGCACAAGCATTGCTATATATACGCTGGTAAAATTGAACATACCTGTACTCTTTCTGCATGGCTTCAGGAATCAGCAGGCAGTCTGCTTTGTTGGGTCCCTCCACCGTTGGTACAGGAAGATCCTGTCTGAGCATAGAAACAGGGGCCACATTGGTGTACGTGTCTGGCAGTTTAGCTGGCTTTCTTTTGAGACTTCTCTGAGTGTTGTCTGGATTGGTAGCAACATTCCGCTGAACACCAGTGAAAGCGTCGCCGGGACGTTGGAAGAGGGAGATGCCAGTTCCATGGAACGAGTCGTATGCACTAGTAGAACTGGGATTGTGGTCAATATTGTCCACTGCGGCAGTTGTAAACAGGTCACTCTTGAGTTGAGGAGGACAGACAGCTTTTTCCACTTTATAATGTTGACAGATCTTGTTTCCAATTTCTGTGGAGCTGTCCAGCACCCGATCATACGAAATGCACAGACCCAGGTCAAAACGGGTGTCCACAAGGGCGCGTTTGCGGGTCTTCGTGTGGATCATGATGCCCAGGTATATGGGCAATGGTGTCTCCCGGTCTTGGCTGTGCCAAGTGGTGGGTCTATTTGTGGTGGCGATCTCCCTCTGGCATACCAAACTGTTGTATATTAGTAGCTGTGAGAGGGTGAGGGCTGGTTGAGGCGTAAACACAGAGCTGGACTGGGTTGTGATCTTTGGGCCATACAACACCATGGCGACTAGTGCTAAGAGTGAAACCGGCACTGACTCCTCCTGGCAATGGGCATCAAATGAGCCACGGAAGTCTTGCTTTACTCACTTGCACCAATATCTCCATTGCATACGAGAATCACATCACGATCTTGCTTGTGAGCGTCCATGTCTGGGAAGTAACTCAGTATCCTGTTCTTGAGTTGGGTGGAGTGTACACGCCCTGTCACATGCGTGCCCAGTTGAGCCAGCCTGGTACTGTACAGATTCACCAGGTCTGTTAGCTTGAATACTGGTGCAACAAGATTGTCCATGCGCACTTCCTCTATATAGGTGACAAGACCAGCGAATGCAATGCCATGGTTAACATCGTCTACATTCGATTCCTGTGATTTCGTTTCCCTTGTTTTATTATACAGAGAGGCAAGACACTGAGCGTGGTACTTAGCCTCTTGGGCAATGAGGTATCCAGCACTGAGTTTGGCTAGGAGTGGTTTGTCCTGTAATTTTAGGGCACACTGCCTCACACGAATGTCACGTTCGAATGTTGATGCATTTCGCAAAGCATCTTCTGCTGCAGGTTTGCCACAGAAGAAGCATATATCTGTTGAACAATGTTCATGTTCATTGCTCTGGCGGGTGAACTTGTGGGTGTCTGGATCATCTTCGTGGGGGCATTTTCCTCTTTTCAGCCCTCTGAAGTTTAGTTTTATTATACTGCAGTCTGCAGGATTCGCCACATTTGGCTTTGTGATGCCGGAATGCTCGATGATGCCCTGACCCTCATCCAGTTGTGACAGTTTTAGTGTTGTTGGCAAGCAACTGATCTTGTCGAAGGCTACAAGATGCTCGGCTATGTTCTTGTATCCTGCGCAACCTGTGGCACGTGCTGAATTAGATGGACATTTCAGCATCTCATCTCTGCCTTCCTGTCACAGAACACATTTTTTCCAGTCTGTGGTCAGGCACTTTGTGCCTGATGTTCCAGGCTCATTATGGTCCACCACCTTGAATAGTTTCGCCATTGTCTCTCAATTCACTATGCTACTTGAGAACAGTATGTATTAGCTCTAGCACCACGTACCATAAGCTGAAGCCACCAGGAATGTATGTCAGCTGCTACCACCGCTGTGCTCAAACAACTATAGTATAGAGTTGTTTTTATATTCTATTCTATATTCTATATTCGATTGTTCTATATTTCTATTGTTCTATAGTTCTATATTGTCTCTATATGCTAGTTGTTTTTCCACAGCTGCGTGCGTGCGGTGTATTTGTGTGTTGCAGAGGAACGTTTGAACGACATTAATTTATAGGAAGTTATCTGTAATGGATAACGGATTTAAATGACGGCCATTTTAAAATTCAAGACGGCGGCCTCTGACCGATAATGATTTTGATTGCAATGTGTTCCTTGACCCCGATAATGTTGGTTTAGACACAAACATCATGTTTCTATGTTGAATATTTGCTGAAATATTAAATTATAATGGATTTGAATAGCGGCCATTTTGAAATCCAAGATGGCGGCCTCCGACCAATAATGATTTTGATTGCAATGTGTTCCTTGACCCCGATAATGTTGGTTTAGACACAAACATCGTGTTTCTATGCTGAATATTTGCTGAAATATTAAATGATAATGGCTTTGAATAGCGGCCATTTTGAAATCCAAGATTGCGGCCTCCGAGCAATAATGATTTTGTTTGCAATGTGTTCTTGGACCCCGATAATGTTGGTTTAGACACCAAGATCATGTTTTCTATGTGAATAGGTTCTAGGACAAATACCCCTCGGACAATCACCCCCATGCCACCCCCGGACAATTACCCCCGGATATTTACCCCCCGGACAATTACCCCGGACATTTACCACCCGGACATATTACCCCCCGGACATTTACCCCCCGGACAATTACCCACCAGGACAATCTACCCCCGGACAATTACCCCCCGACATTTACCCCCGGACAATTACCCCCCGGACATTTACCCACTGGACATTTACCCCCCGACAATTTCCCCCGGACAATTACCCCGCGCGGACATTTACCCCGGACAATTACCCCCGCGGACATTTACCCCCCGTACCAAATCACCCCCGGACAATCACCCCCGGACATTTACCCCCGACAATTACCCCCCGGACATTTACCCCCCGGACACATACCCTGCTCCGGACTTTTACCCCCATTGGCCATTCACCCCCCGGACAATCACCCCCCGGACATTTAACCCCGGGACAATTACCCCCGCGGACAAATTACCCCCCGGACATTTACACCCGGACAATTACCCCCCAAACATTTACTCACTTGGACCCGGTTCCACAGTCGTGGATTAACTTTAACCCTGAGTTAAGGTTAACTCTGAGTTAAATTCACTAACTCTGAGTTAGTAAACTCCGAGTTAAATTTGGGTTTCATAAACATGGTTTAAATCCTGAGTTAAGTAACTCAGAGTTAAATGTTTTAACTCAGAGTTAGTATCCCATAATTTCCAATAATAATAACAATAGAACAAACGCCAGCAGCAGACGAACAAGCTAAATGCAGCAATGGTAGGAATGAAGAAGCGATCACCAAATTTTTCTAGTGCAGAAAAGGCACTGCTAGTGGAACTTTATGAGTTTAACAAGAGTGTGCTGACATCGAAGCTAACAAACAATATTACGAACAAGTGCAAAAACAGTATATGGACAGATTATTATTATTGTTATTGAGTTATCTTATATACCCGGCAGCCGGGTAAATAATAAACAAGGAAAATAATTTTTTGGCCAACTCGGGGATCGAACACGCGACGTTCACGATATTAGCACGACGCTCTAACAGTTGAAGCTACCGAGGAATTTGTTACAAGTAATAATATTATAACTGAACGAATGGAGGGATGGGAATAAATCAGTGTTGGTACGCCATCTATAGGCTCACGTCGGTCAGCGAACAACAAACGTAAATAAATATGGTTACAAGCGGGATGATTCGAACACGGGGCAGTACTAGATAAACTAATTAGCTCTAGTATTACTATCCTGAGGCTAAACTAACCTCGTAGAAACTAATCTTCAAAGTCTAGAGGATGATACCGAAGACTAACTATAAATAAATCGAATGTAAGTTGTTTCTTATGTATAAATTATGCAGATTCTTATGAAAATCTTACCGGCCCCGTCGGTTCAAGGATAGAGAACATGGGGCCCATTGAAACCTATGTCATTTTCGTAAATGTGGGGGTAGCCCCTTTAAAATCGACAGGGGTACTGGTGAAGGTGTTCTTTGTTCATTTCAACCGATAAACATTATGTGAGTTAACAGGAAGTGTCGAAAAAAATGGGTCGTCGTGTTTGCGATATTCTTTTTGTTTTTCGGAAACTGGGGCGTTAAAAAGGTAAAAATCAGCCATTTTTAACCCTGAGTTAAGAGTTAATCCAGGTTCGAACCAGAGTTAAATTTTAACTCTGAGTTAGGCATATTTAACTCAGAGTTAAAGTTAATCCACGACTGTGAAACCGAATTTAACTCTGAGTTAACTTTTAACTCTGAGTTAAGGAATTTAACTCAGAGTTAAGAGTTAACCCACGACTGTGCAACCGGGTCCTGAAGTTTTTTGTTTTTTGTTTTTTTGTATATATTTTTTCTTTATGCTGTATTTCAATGTTTTGTACTGTAACACTGTATCACTAAGAAATTTTGGGGATCGTGGGTATATATTTGCTATAGTTTATAGTATAGTATGTACAATAATTATGTTATGTACGTTGGACCACAATGGAAATAAGTGTGTTAGCCACGCTTTTTTGTGTTTTCATCCTCGATAATTTTCTAGCTGCATTTTGTTTATTTATGCTGTTATCGATGTAATGTATGCTTTAGTAATTATCGAAATAAATAAATCTAAAAAATCTAAAAATCTGAATCTACTCCTTCAGATGGGATTCTTCCATAGATATCATATAACAACATATATATTATGTTGTTATATCATATCTATGGATTCTTCCCATTCTCACCACAGAGATCACGTGACTATCGGCTCATATTAGCAAAGATCATATACATTGTATATGATCTTTGATATTAGATTGCGCCGCCACAACAAACAAGAGAGCAATTTTCATCTCTGTGATGAGATTGTGGCGATCGATGATGTCGCTTCGTTTATTACACGTGACGCTGTACTGGTAGTGGTAATATTATAATTATTACTATTACTATTAGCTCTTGATATATTATGTATATATTATATCCTTTCTTCGTCTCACATTCGAATTCGTTATTAAATAAAAGGCTAGATGGCGTGCATGGCAAGGAAACTGGCGAAGCTTGCTATGGCGTGACAGTTACAGGATCGTAGTCCGCGAATCGTGGCTTTGCTGATGTTTGTTTACAGTAGGCCCCTAGAGACCATGACGTTATCTGTGCGATCGAAACGTGCTGTTTTTTTGCGCGGATCGTGTGATATATAGTCGGGCAGCAGAGCTCGTGCATCAACGATGTACGAGCGTCCGTGGATACAGGTACCGGTAACTGTGCAGTGTGGTAGCATAGGGCCATCGACATCGCATCGGTTGTAACGTGATATATTGCCTATTGCCAGTATTGACTATTGGTACGACTTACGGTTATCGACGTATCGACCTAGCTGTACACTCCACAGTCTACAGCTACACTCACTGACTCAGCTACAGCAAGTACATACATCGTCCGTTTGTGATCAACTGGCAACTGCTAGTTACAATTAAGTCGCAACGATGATGTCGATGAGGAGCATTAACCGTCCGGACTGGTCTTTTCGTGTTAACTGGCTTTATCTCCCGACGCTTGCACGGTTTTCGGGATTCAAGACGAAAAGCGTAAACTTTCATCATCTGATCGTCATCATCGTCATTAGAGCGGCCATTCTTGGTACCGTGCACATCAGCATATGCGTATAATATCACACAGCGATAGACTGCACGGCCAAACCAGCACACTTCATTTGAACAACTATGCCGACTTGAACAAGCCGGCGATCAGGCCATCTCAGTGACAGTGCTGTGTTAGCCATGGTGGTGGCCCGCTCTTTTCAAACGCCTGCCGAATAACATAACAATAACGTAACGAATTCCGAAATTGTGTATATAAAAACCTACCCGGATCATTAATAGAAAAGCAAAGGGTAGGTAACGATTATATTAGCTAATTTATTATTTCTATTAATATATATACCGGTATATTATATCATGTTTATTGATTTAAAGCATTCCAGGTTATAGAAGCTCAGTTTATGAAAAGTCGCACATGCAGATCAAATTATGACCATAGCTCTACTGGTGCACGCTGTCCCTTTGCTTTGCTGCCATTATGACCACTAAACTCGGAAAATAAATTCATTCTCACAGAATTTTCTAAAGTATGTGGGTTTTTCATGAAACTCGATCAAGTTGGCATCTACTGCAGACTATATAGTGGTGCTGTGCATCAGTGTTAATAACAGATTAACCATTGAATTAACAGGAGAACTCATCTTCTAAGACAGCATCTAAGCTCTCGTATAATTTCATATACATTTACATACAAGATGAGTCATTCCGATTCTAATGAGCAAAGTAACATGTCGGGGTGTTAATGTATGAAATTGTTGTTATGGATATATATAACAATAGGTAGGTGACAACGTGTATGCATGACGGATGGAAAAACATACAGCTCCCAACAGCATGCTAATTCATGTATTGTTGAATGGGTTCTTTTTTGTTTTCCATGCAGGAGAAAGACAAGGAACAAGTTTCTTGACGCTGCCTGCTGTAGAAGGGGGAGATTTGATTGGTAGAAATTGGATTAAATCACGGCACAGGTTAGAAAGCACAGCAATTTTTTTAGTAGTGTGATGCCAGACACACCTCTCCTTTAAGTAGCATGATCATACAGATCTGTAACTAGATTGCTACTCTGGCAATTTGCTAGTGTCATCTGTTGTAGATATCATTCGTGAGTAACAATGACACTCATTTTAATGCATTAATCATTAAATACTAGTTATTTCTGTAATGACTGTTTTCAGGTTATAGTGCTTGATGCATGTAAGCATGTATACTAACGTGGCTGCTGGTGCTATAGCAGCACCAACGATAATGCCATTGCGAAACCCACACCTTGGTTTGCCTAGAACAAAGATTGACACCAGTGTGTATGTTGAACTGAGGACAGGTATTACTAGTATTTCTGACATGTGCAGTATAACCTGCGTGTGTTACCCACGCGTTATTGGTTGTGCGTGCAATAATGCATACTAATAAAACAATTACAACAATTTGTCATAGATATTTGGTACAAATAGATGCTGATTCATGTTTGCGTTTAATCCATTATATCATCACTTAAGTTACAGGTAGCCTATACAATTTTTTAAAGTTGCTAAGAAAATGTAATGAGAAAGTAATAGTCAGTCGGTTGTGTAATGAATGCATGACCTTTTATCGTCAGAGTCTCCTCATGCAAAGCTGTACTTCACTGTCGATGGACCAAAACCAAATCCATTCCAGCTGAGGATAGGAGGCAAAGAGGTGACGCATAAGTATGTGGGGCCATTTACACTCAGACCAGGCAAGAGAGATGTCAAAGCAATTGCTGTGTCGAGGTAAGGTGCCCTTAATGGGTGTAAATTAAACATGCATTTTTTAGAAAAAAATATAACTGGTTTTTGTTCTTGCCAGTTTTGCCAGTAATGTATTTGTAGCGAAGGTTTCGAACTGTAGTGAAGGGTTCTTAACTTCTTTTTATATTGTCGCGTTTATTTCCCTCGAAATCTATCTTCTCCAATGTCATGATATAAACCTGTATTACGTATTTATTCGTGTATATTTCTGCTGCAGAGATGGGCTACACGAGAGTCAGGTTGTGGATAAGACGTTCGTTGTGGAGGAGGTGACTGATGGAGGTTACGATGACATCAATGACTTCTGGATGGATGAGGGAGTAGAGAGTGTGAAGTCAAACAATCCATATGCCACTGAATACAGCAAGGTGAGTTGTTGTGTCATTGAGTGTAGAAACTAGGCTAGCACAGTAATCTCGTATTCTGAAACTAACGATTTTACTTACTAATAAGTAGTTTAGTTTGTAATAGTAAATATACCAAGGTCATTTTACTACTAAAGTCTACTATTGCTCATCACATAAATGAGTTTGATGCATTTATGCATGTGTTCAGGCAGCTTGAGGTGTATGTGTGTGTGCTCAGTCAGTCATGCAGTTGCGTAAACGCATGCGTGCATGTGGCTTGTATTACAAAATTAAAACCTTTCCTAAAATGTAGTATGATACATCTGTAGATTACAGATGGTCATTTTCATCATTGACGATTTTGTCAAAAAGACTCTCCCTCTCTACGTACTTTCTCATTGAAGTAGCTTGTAAATTTGTTCGTGTTATTGTGAATGTGATGCACTAATAACTTTGGTTATTGTTATAGGCTCGAACACCGGTGAGAAGCAAAGTGAAGGATGCGTGGAGCAAGCCATTTCCAGGTGTGTAATGTATTATTAGAGTCAAATGCAAATAGTTATAACAGAAATTCACCCCAAGAGTTTTAATACACGTCTGAATGTACAACAATTATCGAATATATAATACGCAATACGAACAATATTGTACTAGCATGCATATATGATTTAATCTTGGATTAACTTCCTGACTCAGGTTCCAAGATAGAGGGTCCCATCAATCCAGTTAATTACAATGGCACGCAAGTGAACATATTTGGATTGCCACCTCAGCCAAGTGGTCAGCCATCTATTTCACAGGTAAGTAACGCTTTTTAACGCACTTCTTTCACCCGTATTTGGATCAGGGAAGGTGCGAAGCAATAAAATCAGGGGTGAATAATGACAAATTATTTGAAGAATGACAATTTATTGAATAATGACAATTTATTTGTCGTCGTTCACCCCCGATAAAATAAAAAGCATATGTTCATACGTGTAGCTTGCATAACACATATAAATTGTTGTCGCGTTTAGGGGTGTAATCTTGATCTTGCTGCGTTACCCCCCCCCCTTCACACGAGCTGGGGATATCCTGACTAGGTCACCATCAGTGACTACACTGCCCTTATCATCAACTCTTTTTTTTTAGTTGTATTTCACCTTGGAAGAGCTTTCTCTTAGTTTTTTCCTGAGAGCATATTTAGGGCAAACGTTCACAGGAAGTTCATGATGATAGGCAATGTATCAGAAGTGTTATAATATAGATAATGTCTATATATTATGAAACTCCTGATTGTACCAGATCCATAAGCCTCACGTCCCATTGTTCATGAGTTAATATGAAAGTTTAGGAATCGGCAACATACTTCAGCTTAATTTCGGAATCTCTGAAGACATTCCATCTACCTAATCCTTGAAAACCCCTTAATTATTAAATACATGTTAGGTGTTAATGTGTCTCTTTTCATAAGGCTATGGGTTTTCAAAGATGTTGATGCCATGCAGTATATATCAGATTAGTTTAGAGATATAGAGTTATGGGATTGTGGGCCATTATTATAACCCTGTTACTAAATTCTGAAATCTGTTGCTGCTGCTGTTTGCTCAAAGTCATTTGTACGCGAGTCTTGTGAATTGGGTACATTACCTATCGCTGTGAACTCCTGGTGAACGCGTGCCCTAAATATGCGCTCATATTTTTTTATTCCCACAAGGAATGCATCGTGAGTACTTGAGCCATCCAATGTTTTTTTCTCCAGTAATTGCGCGGAGGGATCGATGAATGGGCAATGAGGTTTACGTGTGCTGGGCGATCATCAAACACTAGTACAAAACAAAAATGTGTTAAAAAGTGTTTATGTCTATGATAGGTGTTGTAAATTGATGGGGAAACAATATAGATATATGTGTGCGTGTGCGTGTGCGTGTGCGTGTGCGTGTGCGTGCGTGCGTGCGTGCGTGCGTGCGCGCGTGCGCCCGCGTGTGTATAAATACACATGTACGCATGTAGTGTAATGTATACCGTGTCCGATTAGGGCTTGGCCTACAGGCACTTGAAACGGTTTACTAGTTTAGAATAGGAAGTTCATCGATCCATATGCGTTGGCGTCCCACATAAAATGACCGGGGAAACATATGCTCTAAACATCGGTGTGCCACATGTTACACACAGAATCTCATCTGGTATGATTTTCGCACATACGGAGTCACGGACATGCTATGGAGCTGACTGTATGCCTAATGTTAGTCTACCTTCTCCATTCCGTCTCATTTAAGCCCAACGAAACCATAGGTATGTTTCCGGTTACATTGAAATAAGGTCGGTAGGTCTTTAAATTCCCGAAACCTTTTTCTTGCGAATCTGTTAGAGAGGATATGTGAGAAAGCGGAGGCAGTGACCTGATTGTACAACCCTCACAAATTATGTAATCTTGTCTCTGGTTATGTGGGGTTGTCAAACGCGGCAGTCCCGTATTGAAACCCGTTCAATAACTCTGTATAGTTGGATGGTGGTGAGCTTATCAATCCAACATGTCACTATCTTTGTACAAAAAGATCGAATGTTTGGAAATAAATTCGGGGATTAACGAAGGCTTTCGAGTCCCTCGCATTAAACGTGCGAGGTGCTGTGGTTGCTTCTGAAGAGAACTTCACGTTCACCTGTTTGAATAGAATTTGTTTCGGAATCTTGTGGAGTGTTCTGCTACTCAACTCTCACGTTTATGTTGTGTTTCGCTCTTTTACTTTGTTCAAGGGCTGGTATACGCATGCAACAATTAAGAGATTACATATATAAACAAGATTCACGTTGTTGCATACGAACAAAGTACTCTCGAAACATCGATCGTGTCTGGGCTCTTTATATTAGGAAGTGTGCGATTTGCCTCTAATAAGAATAGAGGAAGGCTATTTGCGCGTCGCACTGCATATTTTACAGCGGCAAAAATAACGCGGTTGCGTGTCCAAGGGGTATTGATTTAGGGCAAGCACACTTGGGTCAGAGCATGTGCGTGGGTGGCAGGAAAATGTGTGCGGGAATCGGGGCCACATGGTTGCGCGAGGATTTGCCCTCTGTGAAGGGCGAAGGTGGGTGTATGGTCCTGGACGTGTTCCAACGCGGCTGAAGCAGGCACCACATGCTAGTGTTTTAGGATTAGTTTGAGGGCTGGGATGTTAGCCTTGTGGAGTTTTGGTCGGCCCTGCGTACCGTTGCTGTCCTGAGGCTGCATTTATGAATGAGATGTCACTTATATCCGAAAAAAATTCTCACTACAAAGCCAGAAATTCACTATACATAATATCTTCATCTACTCCTGATAATATCGAGAGCAAATAATACCTAATATAATTAATAATTAGGTAATATTAGCTTTTGATAATATCAGGAGTGTATATATAATATAGAGAATATAATGTAATATAAAGGAATACAAGAGAATATAATATAATAATCTATGTTATTACACTCATGACAATATTGTATATGTTTCCTATAGCACACAGGGTGTTGTGGGTTGTGGGAACAGCACAGATTCTGGGTAAAGTGATTCTGGATTATCGGTTACACATATCCAAGCTTTGGCTCATTTTTTGGCACAGGTGACGCCGACAGGAGTTGGCTTTGCTGCGTATGGAGCGAACCCGGTCGACTTTACTGCGACTTACGGCCCCTATAGACCCACCACAGGGTACCTCACCGAACAAATGTTACAGGTATAAATATCATTGTGGTAGACACTCCGGTCAGTATTTTTTAGACCATCTCTGAGTTAGAGACTGACGTTTCATTACTGTGAGATTCCCGTTTGGTGTTCAGCAGTGACAGGCAACATCATTGTTGTTAATAAACATATTGTTTACAAGGCTCCCTCACATTTATGTTTTACCCACTGCTCCCCCCCCCCACATACATACGTCAACCCCCTGCTTCATTCTCATGATCACTCCATTAAATATAGTTCCTTCATTCGTGCAACATATGTTTATTTCCTCGTTGTCTTTTTGCCCGCGTTCTCCATTAACTACTTATTTGCTTGTTAGATTCTTTTATCTTCAATCACAATTTATACTCGGGTATTCATCCTTAATCATTTCCATTTACCATCTCTAGCTCCCACTTGTTATATTTTTCCTTATGTTCCTCTATTGTTATCATCTGCATCTCTTATATATCCTCCTGCTTCTAACCTTTCCACCTCCCCACGATCTCATTTTGTTTCACCTGCCATCATATCAGGAGGGTATAATATAGATCCATATGATCCATATTTAATCTATATTATACACTCCTGAGCATATGTGATGCTCTGTTGATATCTCACGAGGTATTTTTGCAAATATTTTGTGAACAACCTTTTTGATCCAACTCTGTCTAGGGGGTGATTCGGCCCAGTATCTCACACATTACCTTGTTGATGTTTGCACAGAAGTTGGAGGATGTCGGGCAGGGGCAAGTCGAGGAGACGAGGCAACAGATAAGCGGAGAGGCAGGAAACAGAACTGCCATTGGCATGCCTACAAAGAAACTTGAAGTCAGTCCAGGAAGCGGTAAGTGTACAATGCTTTCATCGGCTCAAGCTAGATGTCACAGTCAATGTGTTTTTATTTACTAGTGGTTCTCGTGGGTGAAAGATATATTAATAATATCAGGAGTGAATAATAATAGATAACCTATTATTAATATATAATCGATTATTAGATCGATTATAATCGATAGATAATCTATTATTAATAGAT